TGTCCGGGAAAAAGAGAACGTCTGGTTACCCTATTAAAATGAAGCCAAACTTTCGATCGGTTTACGCGATGGGACAACAATTTTTTTGTTTCGCTTTTGTAGACTTACACCTGGTCATGCCGTACTTGCTTACTGAATGCCGTGTGTATAACTTGCATACAAAATAATTCGTGCTTCCCAGAGCCCTAGGCTCTGGTGCTGCCTGGAATCGATAAGAGAATAGTTAAGCAAGCTGTCAAACAGTGCCATGGAATTGGAACACACAGAACCGGTTCTGAACAGGAACCGGTTTTTGATTCCCATCCCTAGTTTTGGGCTTTCCAGATTAACGTAGACTCTCAGGATAGTAAGCAAACTAGAAATTGGTTTCAAAGAAACGCTGTATTATTTTTGACACAAATGGCTAATCTTTAGACTGAAATCTGTAAAAGGAGCTTAACCTTGAGGTTGCTAAGAAGCAGACTTTAAATGTATTGTGGAGGATTTTCACAAATTTTTTTAAAAGACCCACTCACTCCATAAAAAAAAAAAAAAAGAAAAAGAAAATGCATAAGCCCATTTCTTCACGTGTATGCTCTGTTTAAAAACTGCTATTCTCATAGCTCATTCAAGCTTACTGTGGCCGAACGTCTGCCCTAACCCATAGCTTTATAGCAAACTCAGTTAACAGACCATTCAGACAGGTAATCACTGCATTTTGCTCCCTTCTGGTCACGTAAATCCTCCTCCACTGCGCGGTCCCTGCGCTATCTTTGTTATTAGTTGCCGCTTAATGGCATTTGCAAGGAGATCTCTCCATGCAAAGCATTCTGGGATATATCAACCTGTTCTGCCTCCTTTCTTTTCTTCACTTTTTCACATATGATCCTCTGCCTTTTTTAAACAACCACACATATACGCTGAAAGTGTGCATGTGCAGAAAAAGATAGCTAACGGGGTGAGCATGTAGGACGGCCTTACGTAAACATATCACCAGAATGGTTGACAATTAAGAGGACCACTTATTTAGGTGATCCACCTGAAATAAAAGATCATCCTCTATACCTGAAAGGAAAATAGTAATTTTTTTTCAAGGAAATAGACAAAAATCTTTTTTAATTATGAGTGTGAGAGGTAGAATTGAATTTCACCAAATCCAAATATTTCCGTTGTTGTAGAAATACTTTTAATTAGCAGTAATGGTGTTTTTCTGTAGTCTGTTCTGTATTTGCTTTAAGCTTGGCTGGTTATAACTGATCCTGAGCGTCCACTGGGTCGTGACTTAGAGTCTTTCTGCCGTTCTTGCAGCACCAGGCAGCATCACTCAGGCATGACAATAAAATGCAGAGCATGAAATTAACTGTGCTTGCTGTTGGAAAAATCAGCACCCTCCATCTTCCCATGGCCCCTCTTCTTCGTTTCCCAGACATTCTCCCTGAATTCTGCACCCAGGCCGTTCTCAGGGTGTTACAGTGACAAAGCTGCATCACGGCGGCAAGCAGCGGCAAGGGCTCAGAGAAATACGTAGCCAACGGCTTAGATTTTTTTTCTCAATTTGTCGTGTCCCTGTTGGGCTTTGTTAAAATAAATGTATTTTTGATATTATCCGCAGCAGCGGGGCCTGTGCATTAACTGCAGGAGCACTCTTTGAGGGTGGCTTTGCTGCTATAATACTTGTAGCCAAGCCTTATTGACCGTACGGGCTTAAATCTCAGCACAAACACTGTGCAGCCTCTCCCCTCCCCAGTGACAGCCGGAGAGATGAGCCCCAGTGAACTGAGTAACGAGCTAATCATGAGCATCCCAGTAATAAATAGGTCTTGTTCATAGTCCACTAATCCCAGTCATTTAGTCGTGGTGGGGCTGCAGAAATCAATTACTGCAGCTGGAGCTTGATCTCTGCTTTCCAGCTGCACACATGTCCACACCTCTGACTCTAGAGACAGTGAGTGTCATTCTGGATCTGTTTCTAGATTTATTTTGTACATAATAAGCTTGCTTCTTGATTTTCGGTTTCTAATAATGAAGTCATCTACTATTTTTTTCTGTCTTTTTACTTTAATAGTAAGACTACCTTGAGATTTATTGTATAATTGAGTTCAGATCACTCAGGCCATCTCTATTGTGAGGATTTATGTCAAATTGATTTAACCAATGTGTTTAATCCATTGACTTTACTCTGAAATACTATCAAAGTGCACAAAGGGAAGAGGAGGGGGTGCTCTCTCAGAAAACAATTTGCCATCTGTGCTTAATGGCATCTGAAGGCCATCCAGCGATAGGCTCCGCGGGGAGCTGGCCTCGAGGTCCCCATGTTTGAACAGAAACACAGTAAATACCAGGAAAAACAAGATCCAGCCTTTTTTAACCTAACATTTAACCATCTGTGGAGGAAAAGTCAGAGGAGTTAAGACTGCTTTTCCCTTGCAACAGAAGAGCTAAACCAATGGATAACAATTAGCCAGGTGATTGCGACCTGCCTGCTTGAGAGTTGGCACATTTTCTGCTTCAATGTTATCAAAATTAAGATTAGTTAGTTAAGGAATCCGATGCTTTTTTTAGCTGTCAGTTTGACTAATTTTTGCCATTTTCATTCCCTCATTTCGCTGCCTTGCTTCCTCGGCCTCAAATCCATCCCATCATGATTCCTGCAGCTGTTTCTTTCCTTCAAATCACCATCTTAGTGCAGAGCATAAGTGTAGAGATACTGTGAGACGCTCTGCACCAACCCGTATCTCTCACAAATTAACCCTTGTGTCTCTATCACTAATTGTCCGTTTCCATGGTCTGCGCGTGCGCCGAGGTGGTGGGCGGTGGTGGGTGTCAGCCTATCTGTGAGCAGCGTTCCCCCTCCGGCTCTCAGGGAGCTGCATCGCTATGGTGATGTCATCCTCAAGCTTAGTGCACGCCCTCATTCAGCAAAGCTGACTGATTACTGGAGGAGAGCAGAAAAGAGGAAGAGCAGAGATCGATCTGATGATCGAACCATGAGATGACATCATTTTGGGTCTGATCAACTTCCAGATTAGTTTTCAGTCATAATCTTCCCCCCTAAAGGCAGACATGATAATGAGATAATCTGCAGCAAACAAGTATTCATGGGAATGAGCTGCAAGGTTCATACAGTTTAATCTCATCATCTGAATATAAAATATTACATTATTACATTTGAGTTTTTATTCTCTTTTTGTTTTCCATCAATTTTTTTCAAGTTTCTCTTTCCTAATATATGTAGTGTTATTTTGTTCTCACTCTTGTATTTTAAATTTTTTTTCGTACAGTTATGTTTACCATCCTTTCAATAAATTGAGGTACATTAACTATATCTGACTCTGCTAAAAAGAGATGCAGTCAAACAAATGATTTGTTTTATGGTTCTGACAAGTCTTTTCATTATGCTATTATTTGTGTCATTATTATTTAATATGTACTGTTAATAATTTTTGTTAAAATAAAAATATTCTTTGTATAAGTTTAATATGTTAATTTGTAGACATAACCTTTATATTTCTACTTTAAACAGTTTTTACAGTTGCATGCTGCAGTCCCTAATAATGGAGGGGTGTAGATGTATTGTATACACTGACTTATGATTAAAAATAACTCTTTTAAATTTAAAGTATGCACTTCTGATTTAACATCCATTTAGATCAGCATATTTTTCTGTCCTGCATGATCTGTTGAGGATGGTTCCTATGATATATATTCAGTTATTTGTGTGTTTAGTTTTTTTTTTTTTGTTGTTCATCAAATTTCTCTTTTTTTATATATTTTATTTTAAAAATCATTTAATCTGTAGATTAATAATCAGATAGCAAAAGGTTCCTTAAAGAAGACTTCTTGTAAAATTAAAGCAAGTGAAACTAAAAGGTTTCGAAATGAGGAGTTCTGGCTAGAGAATATGTACAGATTACTTTGATTTTAAATCTTAAATGCAAAATGTTAAAAAAAAAATTTTGTTGCAATTTTGGTGTAATTGCTGCTCTAAGTAGGTTTCTCTGTCAGCTAAAGACATGTTTTAGACTCTCTATACTACGTTTAACGATTAATCTATTACTAAATTAGTTGACGATTGTTTCAATAATCTATTAATTATGATTAATCCAATTAATTGTTTCAGCCCTAATTTATATATATGTTAAAGATGAAGAAAATGGTATTTAGTGTGTTTAAACTCAGGTTTTTTTTGTTTTTTTTTTCTCAAAATGGAAATGATTTTTTTTTCATGATTGCAGTTGGGATTTAAATGTAGTTGTAGTATTGTTAATATTAAAAATGCTTTACAGTAAAATGTCATTGATTTGATTTTTTGAAATACCTTCCTTTCCATTTTTTTGTACTTTGAGAAACATAATTTATTCCAGGCAGTGTTTTTGGTGCTAAAGGAGCGCTCAATGCTCTCCAGTTTGAGAAGGTGGCCTGCTGTAAATAAATCCAATGCTCTTCTTAGCAAAAAAAGGCTCATCTGGTAATCTCTGGTGACTTGTTTCTGTCATTGCGTTGTCATCATCGGCCAGATGACACTGGTGTCAAACGCTCCTCTGGGAGTCAGCTGTGCATGCGTGTGTGAGTGTGTGTCTGTGGGGGGGGTGGGGTTACTGGGGTTAAGGGGAGCTAATTTCACGCCTTTTTATTTGCACGGGTCTCAGGAGACAAACTCTCTATAAGCATTATCACATCCAGCTGGTTCAAATGGGACAGACGGGACGGGACCAACACACACAGGCTTTGTGTTTGTCCCTCTTCTGTCTCACAGTGATGATGCCTTCCAGCATAAGTCACATACATAAAGAAACTATTATCATTTTTCTATTTGTGGAGGAGGAAAGACTTTAGTTAGTATTTGACCCCCTTTGCATAAATTTAAAATTTCCCCCCGATCTTAACAAAAGAACCAACTTGAATCTTTCAAGATTTTTTATTTTTTATTTTTTTTACTTGGGACAATTTATTTGAAAATGCTAAGAAGAGGTTATGAGTTTTACACAATCATTTTATTTGGTTACTCCCTCTCCTTTTAGGTGCATCGGCGATCAGCAGAGCGTCTTCGAGACTTGTGTTGTGCCAACAGGGGCACCTTCATCAAAGTGGGGCAACACCTCGGTGCTTTGGACTATCTGCTGCCCGAGGAGTATACCTCCACCCTGAAGGTGCTCCACAGCAGAGCTCCTGAGAGCACCATGGAGGAGATTCAGCAGGTCATCAGAGAGGATCTCGGAAAGGAGGTAAAACCAGTTAGATACAGTATACCCTTCAGCTGAACAATTATGGCAAAGATTTGAAGGTTAACTTTTAGCACTAGACACTAAAACAGGACGTTTCTGCTTGTTTGATCGTCAGTCAGTTTTCTTGTTTATCAATAGTGATAAAGAGAGGGATACAGCTTTATAAAATGTATGCTTAAATTGTTCTTTATAATTTTATTTTTTTTTCTTCAATCCAATAAGAAAATGTGTTGGATTAAAACCCTCATTACATATAAAGTTTTGTAAAACCAAAGATTACTGGGTAAAAATCAGAAAAAAACACACCAGACACATTACGGCATGCTTTACTTTTTACTTTTTCTTTAGAAAAATGCTTCTGAAAAGCTAAATTCATATTTTGCTTTATATATATATATGTATATATCTCTTTACCTGTGGTGAAAATAAAACAGGATTGCTGTGAAAATGAATACTAACCTAAATCTTGACTTTTTACACTGGATCCTATTGCATGTTTACACCTCCTCTTTACCAATCAGTTTTTCTCAGATTGTGCTATTCAGAAATTCCCTTGTCAAATCCATACGGATTTGATGTTAAGTTAAGAAAGCACAGGTTTAAATATAAATTACACTGCAGTTAAAGCAAACTGAGAGTTGCATTAACCAAAGTACTCTGAGGGTTTTATTCTCTGCTAAAGGAAAGCGTGACTTCGAGCTCCCAATTTCCTTTAATGCACTTACATTTGCACTTTTTGGCACTTGAGGCTTCTTTATCACCAGCTCTGATTTGGTGTTAAATGTGCGCTTGTCTGTACATGTGCTCTTTGTGGCTTGCAGGGGGAAAAAAAGGGCAAATAAAGCAGAGCTGGAGCAGTCTGACATTGTGTCCTTGCTTGGTTTTATAAGCTGAAAAAGCTGTTACAGCTATTGGCACCGAGTGCGGTGTTTGCTCTCAAACCCAGTTGTTATGACAGCCTTTTAGGGCCTGCAGGAGGCCAGGCAATTATTCTGTTATACTCAGATACACAGGTCCTCTCCTAACGCATACTGGGTACTAAAGAAGTGGACTTATTGTGCCCAGTTGAGGAACATCGAATCAGCAACATCGGTAGTAAAGTTAATTGTCGTCCCCCTGCTTTGTAGAAAGGTTGATATAATCTCTGGATGTGAACTGTCAGTAATTGTCAGGTTTGGACTGAACATTTTGTTGTTGCTTCGAAAGAAACCAATTCGCTTCATTGAAGAAACTGATGAAGCCTTTATAGAAATGCATGTTTCACTTAGATTTTTCTATATTTCCATTAAATCAGATGTAACAGTTTCACAACAATTATAAGCTCAACACAATGCAGGGCAGCCTTAACATGTTCATTTTCCTACACTACTCATCTGCCTTGGATCACTTTGGTGTGGTAAGCTTTTACACTGCTGGGTGTCTCAGAGGGACATTTTATTTCCTTATGTTCTTTACCATTAAGGTATAGTTGGCGTTAAATCTGGGGAATTTAAACACCATGAACCTACTCTAAACTTGTTAAACTCAATGCCTGAGACATTTTTTTGGTTTACAACAGGACACATTTTACTACTGAGGGAGGCTACAGCTTTAGGTACATGAATGAACGGGTGTGTGTGTCCTGGGAGGCACCGATCCACATTTTGGTCTCTTGTAATCCGGATATTATATGCAGATCTTGGTACATTTTGCAACACCTAAAGCTTTCTTTTGGTGTATTGGCTGACTGAATTTACCTCTTAAATTAGGGAGGGGTTCTTCTGTTCAAGAGATTTTTAAACCAACTTAAATTTATTATAAAAATACACTGGATAAATCTGCCACTATGCATTGTGCCCGTTTTCACTAATACCACTTCTAGAATTTTCTTCAATATGGCGACCAGTATTGATATTATCTCTAGTTTGCATCAATGTTGAGCAAAGTGGAATATTAGATTTTTTTTTTAGATTAGATTGAACTTTATTGTCATTACACAGGTACATGTACAAGGCAACGGAATGCAGTTTAGATCTAACCTGAAGTGCAATAGCAGCAAGTGCAGGATAAATAATGGTTCCATAAATACAGGACTTGGAAGAATATGAGAAAGTAACCTCATAAACTCTAATTTCTAGACCCAGTTCAGTAACAAAATTATTTTTGTGAATATCAAAAAAACACTATTTGAACATTTATACCTATTTGTATGCTTGGACGATGAGAAGCAAACTAAAATGGATGATAAAAAGAAACTGAGCAAAATGAAAAATGTTCTCATAAATCAATTTTGAAGACCAACTCAAACTGCCTGACTTGTACTGTCATTGACCTTAGAAATCCCTAACAATGAGCATGCAATGACAATGTTGAGGTGAAATTCCCTTTTTATAGGAAGAAACCTCCAGCAGAACCAAGCCCAGTGTGAGCAGCAGAAGGCCTTTCCCACTGAATCCTGGCCCAGGGGCTTTTAATGGAATTAGCTTTCTCTGACAGTGAAAAAGCATGGCTTTTATGTTCAGTGGTCTCTCTGAACTCTGCTGAGATATGGTAGTTGTCCAATGTGGGTGTCCTTGTTTTACTTTGTGATTCTGTTCAAGGTGTACCTGCCTCTTGCAGAAGATTAACACAATTCCCCAGAATTCATGTGAGGATAGGCAATAGATAGATAGATAACATGACATATCTGACTGTAAGAGTCCACAGTCATCGGCACCTGTTCTATGAAAAGGTTGGGTTAGTTATGTGTGTCATAGAGCTATCCAGATAAATAGCTAGACCCAAGGTCTTCATTGCAGAATCTTCCAACAAGCATCAAAATATCTTCACAAGTTTACCGTTCTCTTATATTGGGTATTAGAGCCATGTTTACTGAAGGCAAATGGAGATTTCACCATATGATGTTAAAAAAAGGAAAAAAAAAACATTATTGATCAGACCAGGACACCTTTTTTTACTCAGTTGTCCTCTTCTGATTGACATGTACCCGTTGTTGAAATTTTGTATGGTGTACCTGAGCCTGCACGGCCACCCAGTCTACTGCATGGTCGAAGGGGGGGACAGTAGCATAGGATAGAGGAGTTTTTCCTAAAAACAGAGTTGACTAATTTAGCCCCTGCTCTGCTCCATAGCTCACTCTTGTCATTGGGCAAGATAGTTTACCTACTTCACCTACTGATGTTAGGTCAGAGGGCCCGTTGGCGTCTGTGAAGGGCAGTCTTGATTCTGTCGCAGCTGTGGCCTACCACCATCAGTGTGTAACTGTGTGCGTGAATGGCCGAAGGAGCTCAAAAAATAAAAAAAAAGTCGTAGGGAAGTTGTATTTAAATTTCAAATCATTCTGGCTTAAACATGTATATAAAGGTACTCTTTATCAGACCATATTTTCCCAAAACTCTCCTCCTCCTGCATGTTTCCGCTATCCATAACGTTCCTTGACATTGTCGTTGCTAAGTACTACTTCGTCCCAATGTAATTTCCCATTGGGAACCTACTAGCACCAAGTTGCTAACTGGTTAGCAAGATGCTTCTGGGACACCGGCCACAACCAAACATGCTTGCAAACCTTCCGCCACCATAATCCCTCCCCCTTGATAATCGACCAGTCACATTCACTTTATTAACATGTGTAGTCGGGCACCACTCGGGAGAACTCAGAAGTGCAACCGTTGGAACAGCTGCTTCCCTATGACTTAAAAAAACACAAACAAAAAATGCATGAGAGCGCACCCACGGAGGTATGAGGGTTCAGAAAGAGCCCTGCTCACCCCTTACCTTCTGCCTTGCTGATATTAAAGGCTGGATTACCTCTAATATCTTGGAGCTAAATTGCCACAAAACAGAGATGGTGCTGGTAAGAACTAAATCAGTTTTAACCAAGACGGACGGTTTCTCTCTTTCAATTTGCAGTTCCACCGTCTCTCCTAAGGTCAAGAGTCTGGGTGTCATCCTCTGTAGCTTCTCTCATTCACCTTCCACATCATTAACATTTCCCGTTCTGCATATCTGTACCTGCGAAACATTCGTCTTCATCCGTCTTTCTCTGCTCTCTGCTTCTGTTCATATCTGTAGCCTTCTCACCTCCCTCATTGATTACTGCTTCTCTCTTCTTTTTGGTCTTGATCCGAAATCTCTCCATTAGGTTTAGTTGGTCCAGAATTCAGCTCTTTTACTTACCAAAACACTCATACATCATCAAATCACCTCAGTCCTACAGGAGCTTCACTGACTTCCTGTCAGATTCAGAGTTCAGTTCAAAATCCTCCTGTTTGCTTTCAAGCACATCCCTAATCTAGCTCCCCCATAACTCTCAGATCTCTTCAGATTGGTATCTCCTGATACCTCCTGCCTGCCTTATCGCCATGGGTAGTAGAGCTTTTTACCGCTCTCTCCCAAACTCTGGAATTCACTCCCTCTTGATATTCATAATACTGATACTTTACCTTTGTCTGAATCTAAAACTAATATGCGGGTTCTGAAATTCACTTTAAATAAAATGTATTATCATAATTTTTATATATATAGAGAGAGAAGGAAGCAGTTCTAACATCTAGGCTAATTGATAGTAGCACTTGATTTCTGAACTCTGTATACAGCAGCACACCTGCAGCATCTCCAACATTCAGAAGAACTTCTGTAAAGCTCTCAGAGGAAAAAAAGAAATCACAAATTACAAGTTTCATCTTATATTTTATATCTGTACATTTATTCAAGTCCTCCTCTAATGCAAAACCACTAGATAATATTTTTCTCAGGCTTTTTACAAAAGGTGCTCATTGGGTTTGATTTCTCCTGCTATCTGCATGGGGTCTCATTATCCCTGAAAAGGCAATGATACAAGTCTTGTATGTAGAAAGCAGGGCGAATGGGATGAATCAGCCCTCCTCCCTCCCAAAGTGGCTGGGAAAGAAGCAACGCTGATGAGCTGTACCAGGCAGCTCCGGAGTGGAAGCGTCGGCCGCTCCGGCATCATTTCCTTTTCACCGCACATGTTTCTTTTTTACATCATGGCCTTTTTGTCATGTAGAAGCATTGAGTGCGGTGCGCGCCATTTCCAGCACCATTTGTAGCAACATATGTATTCCCACTGTGCACAGATCTGGCTGCAGCAAACCTGCTGAAAAGCCCAATATGCACAATATGTTTTACTAAACTGGGTCCAGGATGAATGTCACACTTAGCTGCTTCTAAAGGCGTGACCTAGGAGAACATGACCACTATATGGCTGTCCAAGTTGGAGTGTGTGGGTGTGAGGACATCTGTGGCGTTTCAGGAAGTGGAGGAGGAATGTTGTTCCCAAACTGATAAAAATCCCAAATAAGCCACCAAATGAAACCATACACCTACGTAGGAAGATTGTTTTGGAGATACCCTGATCATACCCGCAAAATATTTGAATTATCTTAACTTTTTTACTATCTATGTTCATTTTGCATCATACGGGAGAGATCAATAAGTTATTTATTAATCCAAAAATCCAAATATGACTCACAGAAATGCAATGCAAACTAATGCATTCTGCACTTATTTTTTATTTTGCTATTCTTTGCATAAATTATATTTGGATGAATTTTCTCAGGAATCTTCTGGCAATATAGGAAGCCTACTTAAGTATTTAATATTTAAGACCTAGGAAAGTCAATGTGGCTGTTTTCATTATACACCAATGCAGGTCAACAAGGGTGTGGATATTTGTCTGTATGGCTTTGAGGTTTACATTAAGATTCCTTGAAAGGGCTGTTAGTTTCCAACTTCTGCAGAGCAATCTCTCCTTCCTGCCTCCGTTTTTCTCTGCTCTGTAATGATTTATGTATTTTCAGCCAGCTGGGGCTGTGGCTCACTGCCAGCAGCCAAACTGGCCACCTTTCCTCAGTGACACAGACACCGATGTGTTTCCATCCAACTGTGAGGCCTCGGGGGCCATTTTATTTGTGCCATAACTCATTTCAGTGAACGTATGTCACTGAGGGTCTGCCCCATGGGAGCAGGGCCTGATTGCATGCATTACCATGTTTATTAACTCCAAAGCTGAGTTCAACATGAGTGTTGAGTGTATGGCAGAGAGCTGCAAATATTCATAGTATTCCATCCTCTCTTAGATTAAGTTGATGTTAGTTTTATAATTCTGTCTGATTTAATTTTGCTGGGATTTCCGAGAGCTCAGGCTGCTGCTTAAAATGATGGGCTCATCTGAGAAATTACACGTTTTCTTAAACCATGAAAGGACTTTTGGCGTGTCAGATCCCTCCGGATTGTTGATGTTGTCCTGTGTAGACACTGGTGGGTGCAGACAATTTCATTCCATTTAGCGTATTTGCATAATGAATAGCTCAGCTGAGGCCGCACAGCAGCTCCTGCTGGATGTATAATTTAATATCTGGTGGCATCTTCTGCAGGGCTCATGTTCTGTCTGTACCTGACGGGCCAACATCGTGTTCAAATTAGCCTCTTTTCATGTTACCAAACAGCAGGGGAATCTTCTCTCTTTATGGATTGTTTTGAAACAGGACAACGAAATATAAGTTTGTTTTAAGACTTTAGCACAGGTTCCTCTAGCAGCATTTTTTGCTAAGTTATAAAGAACAATGCATCGAGTGAAGAACACTGAATTTCTTTAAACATTCTATTTCCACAGCTAAGATGACACAAAATTGATATTTTTAAATGTTGTAGTATACGACTATAAAAGCAAACAAAAAACATGAAAGGAGTGTAAAACTAATCGAAAGAAAAACAAAAGTGCAAAACAGATTTAAACTAAAAAAGAGAATCTGAAAATTATTTTTAACAAATCAGCCTGATCTCATACTTCACTATGCGACTAAAGATCTGATTCACAGATTTAAGTTTAAGCCACATATTTGTCATATATTACTGGCCTACTTACATTTACTGCCTCCTTAGCAAATAACCAAGCTCTGATGAGGCCTCTGAATAAACCAATTATTTGAATCAATTGATTTAAATCAGTACAGCATCTAAACATACAAACCATATCACTGAAGACTGGCTTTGGACACCAGTGATTTCTTGAACACTCCTATCAACAGACCCAAATATCTCTTTGGGACTCTATACAAGTTCCCTGATTCCACACATGACTTCATTTAAAAAACTTTAGTGTAAAATTAAGTTGGGGGCAGGAGGGCCTTTCCAGTTATTTGCTTGATTCGACACTAAAGTACTACAAGAGGAAGCCTGAAGATTAAAAGCAATTAAAATAATCATCTAGAGTTTGATACGACCATTAACCAAATACTAACCCAGGACATAGAAGTCTAAGCAAAAACACCCTGGGAAAGAAATAAAGATGCCTTTTCATTGCTTAAACACAACCTGGTTGATAAAACAGACGGAAACTTACTGTTTTGGTAAATGGCCTGTACTTATACAGCGCTTCTTTTTTCAAATCAGGAGACTTGACCAGAATGCTTTAAACTACATTCAGTCATTCACGCATACACTCACTCACTGATGGTGGCAAACTACATTGTAGCCACAGCTGCCCTGGGGCTCGCTGACAGAAGCAAGGCTGCCATACACTGGCGCCACGGGGCCCTCTGACCACCATCAGCAGGCAATGCAGGTGAAGTGCCTAGCCCAAGGACACTGAAAGACAGAGTTTGAACCGTCAACCCTCCGATAGCAGGGCAAACTCACTGTCGCCCCAAACCTACTGTTTAACTAAGACACATTCTACCTAACTACCCAGCTCTCATCCTTTATTTTGGCTTTGTTTCTTGAATTGATATAACAGGAAAACTTATTTCTATCTATATCTATGTCTACAGTTAAGTGATTAATTTGTCGATATTTATAATCATATTTTCTTCTCTTTTTTCTCTTCATAGATTCAGTCAAAACTAGAAGCTAAAGACAGCCCTACAAACCATTTTTGGAAAATATGAGCATTTACAGTTACTGCAGTTCAAAAAATTGGAAACATAATCTGCTGTTATACATTTGGGATGTTGTTTCCAAATACATTGTTAGTCACAATATGTCCTTAGGATGCATTTAACTGTTAACATTGTTGTATATGTCAGTAAGTAGTTGCTGCAGGCCTTAGGGAAAACAATTTTCTTGAGGCTGTATGTAGCGTTTTCCTTTAACTGAACAGATTTGTCTCCATGAAGCAGGAAAGCTTGGGGGCAATTCTCAGATTCCCAAGTACACAATAAGTCGTTTCTAATAACCAAATGTCCCTGGGGAAGTCTGTTTAACCTTCAAACCTACACACTAATTACTGTGTGTGTTCTGGGAGTCCACAGAGAGCAGTGGAAGCTAATGAGGGACCACCTATGCTCTGAGGACAAACTGGGGGCTGAATGCTGTGATACAGACATGCTGGTGGACTGAGGGGATCAGACAGCAGCCTCTGATCTCTACACTCATGGTTAACTCTATAGATGGTGGCGTTTCATTGGGCAACACACCTCCTTCTGAACTTTAACTAGACCTGCAACAATGAAAACATGAATGGGATTACACATTAATATACACACAATATGGGTAGCTAATCTTGTTTAATGCCCATCCCCCTATTACAGATATTTCAAGAGGAAAAGTCTAAGTTGCATATTTTAGAAAAATCTATTTTTTAACTTTTGCATTGGCATTTTCATTACCAGACTGGGAGTTAAAATGTTTGCATTTTTTTTTGTTCTCCTGCAGCTTTCGGAGTTGTTTGTTTCATTTGAGGAAAAGCCTCAGGGTGCAGCGTCTTTAGCGCAGGTCCACAAAGCAGTCCTGCATGATGGCAGAACCGTAGCCATCAAGGTCCAGCACCCAAAAGTTCAGCGACAAAGCTCCAAGGATATAATGGTGATTGAGGTGAGAATTGCTGTTTTATATCTGTCTGTGCACACCTGCATGTCAAAACTATATAGCCATGCATTCTGTATCTGTGTAAACTTTACCATGTTCGATTTACAAAGGATTGCAGACAATAAAGTCTCATGTTCATAACAAAACAGAACTACACTTGGGAAAATAACCATGCATACACATGTAAGGATAATCTAGAATTATCAGCTCAATTTACATACATGTTTATAGAAAAAATTGCAGGGGTTGGAGAACCTGGAAACAACTCACATGCACAGTGTGAGCTTGCCAGCTTTAGACAAAAAGCCTCCAAAAATACTTTGTGTAGGTATAAGGTGCTAATCTTAAGACCCTGTGCAGTCCAACAATAGGTATGCTTCTTTTACAGTATGTTTTTATGAACTAAAACAGGGTTAAGAGTTTTTACCTTGTAGTATCCTTTATATACTAATAACAATGCATTAAATACAATACAATTCAATTCAGTTTATTTATATAGCGCCAAATTCACAACACATGTCATCTCAAGGCACTTTACAGTTCAACCAGATCAT